GCGTGACAAGGTGGCCTTTGCCGAAGAAACATTTGTCTAGGGCAATGGATGTGGATGAACTAAATATTTTTTTGTGTATGTGCAACAGAAAATATTCTGTAATATGTGATCAGGGTGCGAAGAATTTAGCAGGCTGCATGGGATAACAAGTGTAAAGTGACACTAATGTGTATGTAATGTTGGGATTCAATAATCATTTTGGTAGGAAGGGTGGGGACGGGGGGGTTGTCCTTCTGTTTTCTTTATGCCCTTTTTGATGGAAGAGATTTCACTGGCTGGGTGTGTAGTGGGCTGAATGCCACCACACTCTCCCTGTCCATGAATTAGCTGACCTGTACAGGGCCTGACTCTACTTCTTTTTATAGCAGGAAAGGAGAAACTCTGCTTTATTTTCTCCAGTCAGCTGCCGACATGTGTGGATGACTGGAGAATTGAGACAGCTCATGCTCTATCAGAATTAGTTAAAAATCTTTACACTTGCACAAAACCTACCATTATTCACTGTTCATTACCACCATTCATCCAAAGGAAGATCCTTCACCACCATTCCAGAAATCACTGCTGCTTTGCTCTTCTCGTCTGTTGTCCCCCATGGTCTAACTCACAGCCCACATCCATTACTGGGTTCCAAAAATACCAACTGGAGCCCAGAGTCAAAAGTCCAGCACTCACTAACAGACAGCATATGTCACATTTTAACCTCAAGATTGCTTCTTTCCCCAATTAATTGTGCATTAATTCTTTCCTCTCATACCTTCCCCAAAGCTAGCATTTGACAGAGACACAGTTGCTATGAAGGATTTTAGCACTGTCACTTTGACACGGCTGTGAATGTTCTTCAGTGTCCTCTGGGAGTAGCTGGTCCTTTCAGTCCCAGTGAAAGGTGACATTATTTTTCTGTAAATGATGTCCCTTTCCAGAGGCAGTATGGATGGGGCATAATAATCAAATAATAATCAAATTCCTAGTCATGCTAAGAGGGACTTGAGCAGGACTTGGCTTTAGCATGAAATCAAAGAGTTGTGGAAGTTGTCAACAGTGTTGTCAAGTGGGTGCTGAAGCAAAGTCCCATCTAGCCAGAAAGTTGTCAGTCCATACACTGAGACTGCCCAGGCTTCAACAGCACTGATGCTGGCTCAGAGAAGCACTGTAGTTCCCACCCAGCAGAGTACGTGGCCCGGTGCCATCCAGCAGAATTAAGTTTGGAGAAGTTCCAGGCAGGGATGCGCTAGGCAGGCTGCTGGTGGGACCACCAAAGAGACAGCCAGTGGACTCCTGGAGCATCCCCATGATTCCACTCAAAGCCATGCTCAGAAGCACCATAGCCATCATGGGGCTTGTTAGAGGATTGTAATGCTGCCAGCTGAGCTCTAAAAAATGCTGAGAGCACCACATCAGTTTGATAGGTGTTAAGAAAACAATGGGAAAAGTCTCAATGGTTAAAAGGTTTGGGATGGTTCATTTGAAAGTTGCATGGCGGTTTCTCTCAGAGCCACACTTCTTTTACTCAGTGTACAGTGAATGGGTGAAGGACAAGAGAAATGCGTGAATCCTAATGACTGAAAGGTAGTGCTTGTGGAGTAAGTGCCCCTGCAAGCTGCTGAGTGTCTGCGAACAGCCAGAGCTGGAGCTGCTTGACAACTGCCATGGTTCAGTCCCTGCACAGAGGAGGAAGCCACTGCTGTAAAATGATTTAGGAGATGTCAGATCCCTCCACTCATCTGCCAGGTGCCTGTGAGGGTCAGTGACAGGAACCTGGCCCAGCACTCCAAATTCACACCATCAAATACTGGGGCAGGGGAGCCAGGGGGAAGCCCAGAGCCCTCTTTCCAAGCTGTATAGGGTTTGTTTTGTTAGATGCTGGGTGTTTAACTCTGAGATGTGGCGCACTCTCTCTCTGATCACCTTTGTGGCCCTTGTATAATGAAAGGTGTATATAATCGTAACACAACCCCCTCACCACCATCATTTTCCTCATACATGAACAGCAACAAGGCATTCACAGTCTTTTTTCCGGAGCTGCAGTTGTAACTATTTCAATAAAGGACACACAAGTTGTCATTGTGGTGCTCTGTGGTGCCTTTTGTTCCCTTGCTCCCGCTCCCCTCTCCCCTGTGTCAGGGTGGTGGTGTTTGCAAGCACCCAGCTGTGCTGTGAAAGGCACTCACCTCCCAGCCGAGGTCTGCCAGGCTGGCCACGCCAACAAGGAACCCTCTACCACCACAGCAGCTCGGGCATTACTCCTATCTTTTCGAGAAGGTGAAACAGCACTAACTATCATATGAAAAGTCTGCCTGTTCTTGGAAGAGAGATTGTTCTGTATTCTAACAGATTGTAAACTGGCTCAGTGGTTGGGCTCAGGTCAAGCAAAGGGGACCTGGACCAAATGCAAACTAAGAGCTCACAATTTGGATCACCTAAAGGAATTACAAGCAAGTTAAAAAGAAACACTGAGGCAAGTGGGGCTGCCTAACATGGGCCCAGTTGCCTGGTTAGCTGCTCTAACCCAGCCCTCTAGTAATCATTTTTCTATATTTAAAACAAAACAATATCCTGTAAAATGTAGCAGAAACCACAGTTCTGGGCGTGGAAATCTGCAGCACTCCTTTTTCATGACCCAGACAATAATGCAATTCTGAGAGACCAGTCTTGAAAAAGTTCCACAGCACCCAGCTTGCTCATAACAAGAAATACCGAATACACAATCAGTTGGTTGGCTTTCTGCCGCAGAAAAGCCACATTTTCCCTTAATGTAGAGCCCTGAGACACAAATAGGTTTCCCTTCCTTCTCTGCCCTTTTTCAGAGATTTAGACCAAGTTGGTCTCACACATGCTGAAAATCCTACTCACTGCCTGACTGGAGGCAGTCACTCGGGAAGTCATGTCACATGGTTGCCATCCAGGAAGTGAGGAGCCTTCAGGGCCTGCTCCCAATATAGACCAAAGCCATACAAGTCCAACTCATTTGCCTGGAAGAGAAATGACTCATGCAGTTCAGCCTCTTCTCATTTCTGCTCAGCATGTATGATTTGTTTTCTTATTCTGCAGGCTGACAGAAACATGACGGAAGTGCCCAGGGCAGCTGTGGCTTATTTTAACCTTCTCAATCCTATTTCTGACATTCCAACCGGCAGGAAAGCCAGTCTCCAAAGATGTATTTTCCCCCAATCCTTTGCAGGTAGCTCCTTTGTGCAGAGGCCTCTCTGCTATCCCATGGCACCTTTGAGGGACAGACAGCCCTGCCAAAGATTAGCACGGGCTACTTTGACTCCCTGCAGTTGAAAGCTGACAGCTTGTTCTAGAAACTGTTTCTTCGAAGGTCACCCACACTCTGAAAACAAACACAAGTCACTCAACCCTTCTGAGCCAGTAGCTGCTCCCGCCCTTGCCATCCTGCCCTGTAGGTGCAGAGAGCTGGCACCTTCCAGTGGCAGCCTGGGCTCCAGCTTCAAGCTCACGATGAGGTGGGTGTGGAGGAGTGGGACTGCAAAGCTCCCGATCACCTCTGCAAGGGGACACCAGGAGTGGGGAGAGACTTGAAGTGGTACTGAAAGTGGTGGGTTTACTGCTTTCATTTAATTCATTTTTATTCTCTTTGCTTTATTACAGTAAACCTGAGACAAGTTGGAGGAGAAGAGGTTTGGGAGAAACAGACACAGGCTACAGGAGTTTTCTGATGTATGACAAAGCAAAGGGCTACCCTGGGAAAGGATTGGCCTTGCCCTGGCCCATGCCAGGAAATCTGCCCCGCAGGTAGCCTTCCTGTAAGAATAAAATTCTTACGTGGGTAAAATTTTGTACCGATTTTTGCATGAAGGACCGGAGAGGAAGTCAAAGTCTATTGTGGGGATTTACAGAGTGTCACTCGTCAGCAGGGACCCCGGGCCACGCCGAGGGGAGCAGGGCCGGTGTCGGCAGTCAGAAGGCACAGAGGTGCAGAGACCCTCGGACACGAACCGCGGCTCCAGCCCCCCGAGACAGCTCCGGGCACGGGGCCGAGCGGGAGGGAGGAGGGAGGGGAGAGAGGAGGGAGGAGGGAGGGGAGAAGAGGACAGGGAGGGGAGGGAGGGCAGGGAGGGCAGGGAGGATAGAGAGGAGGGAGGGCAGGGCAGGGAGGGCAGGGAGGAGGGAGGGCAGGGAGGATAGAGAGGAGGGAGGGCAGGGAAGGGAGGAGGGAGGGCAGGGAGGATAGAGAGAAGGGAGGGCAGGGAAGGGAGGAGGGAGGGGAGGGAGGAGGGATGGCAGGGAGGGCGTACCCAGCGCAGCCAGCGCCCCCGGGCGCCTCAGCGCCGCCACCGCAGCCCCGCCCGCCCGGGCTCCGCATTACACCGACATTCCAGAGAATCACCGAACTGTGGAATCACGGAATATCCTGAGTTGCGATGGACCCATCAGGATCAGCGAGTCCAACTCCTGGCCCCGCACAGGACACCTCAGAATCCCACCATGTGGGCGAGAGCGTTGTCCAAACACTCCTTGAGCTCTGGCACCCTTGGGGCCGTGACCACTGCCCTGGGGAGCCTGGTCAGTGCCCGACCACCCCTTTCCTAATATCGGACCTAAACCTGCCCTGACACAGCTCCAGCCTTTGCCTCGCATCCTGTTACTGGTCACAGTGAGCAAAGATTGGTACGTGCCCCTCTGCTGCCCCTCAGGAGGATGTTGAAGACCCCAGTGAGATCTGACATCAATCTCCTCCAGCTGAACAAACCAAGTGCCCTCAGCCGCTCCTCGTACGGCCCCTCCAGACCCTTCAGCATCCTCGTGGCCCTGCTCTGGACACTCTCTAACAGATTAATGTCTTTTTTATATTGTGGTGCCCAAAACCGCACACAGGACTCAAGGTGAGGCCACACCAGTGAGGAGTAGAGCAGGACAATCACCACCTTTGACCGGCTGGTAATGCTGTGCTTAATGCACCCAACCAAATTTCCACTCAACTCATTCTATTCCAACCAGGCTCATGGTACCAGAAAAGCAAATCTCATAGGTCTAAAAGCCTCCTTATTAGAATTTTATTTGACATGTGCGGTAGTACAGCAATGGGAAAATTTAACATTTGGAGACAGTGGGTGATCCCAGAATGGAACAATTCAGGGACCTGTAACATCTCAAGTTCATGGAAGTGGTTCCTGCTTTCAGGAACAGTCAGCATGCAAATGTTATCAGTATGCTCTTGCTGACCAAACTCAGGCCACCTACAACATCAAACCCATCAGTACACTGACCTGTGAACAGCTATCTCTTCTTAAGCTTCCCATATTGGGAAAAATCTGCTCCACTTTTAAAGAGCCAAGCCTTGGAAAATTCTGAGCAGTTACTCATAATAGCAGAATTATTAAATTTCAAAGGACAGGGCAAGTCACATACAGCATAGATGTTTACTGACACTCACTCAGGGAAATATAAAGCCGTACACTTTAGTCCAGTTGCATTCAGCAGAGCATCTAAGCACTTAAAACACGTACCAAAGACCCTATTAACTATTAAAACTTGTTTAAATAAGGGATTTGCCAAACAGGCATTTTATACTGAATCAAACCTCTATGGTCTACTGCAAGCCAGCCACAAAAAGCAATATTGTCAACAAAAAGCAAAGTACCCTGCCACACCTAAAATGAGGATGTGAGCTGTGCAGGAGTCATTTCCAGTTACTGTTTGCTTTGCTTTCCAACCTCCAGCTGTCTCCTGATGTCTGACACATCCATGGGGACCCGCACCGTCAGACCATCCATTGACTTCTTAACATACACCTGGCAGCCAAGGCGTGATCTGAGAAGAAAACATGAAGTGAGGCTCATCTGTTCCCAAAGAAAAGGGAGAAATTCCCCACCCACACTGGGATGTCTGGTCCAGGATGGGTTTTCACTAAAGCTCCTGTTAAAGATCTCCTGTGCCCCAACAGAAAGCAGCTCACGAGGCACAACTGTAATGCAGAACAAGCCCTGTCCCCTTGGAAAGAGGTGCCACATGCTGAATCTGCCTCAGAGGCCTGAGGATCTACTGCAATCAGCAGGGAGGCTTACGTCTCAGTGAGTCCGTACGCCAAGTCCAGCATGTCCAGCTCTTCATCTGAGATGGCATCAAGCTTTTGGAAGGTGTCCTTGTCAAAGATGAGGTGACAGGTGGAGCAGGCTAATGTTCCTTCACATGCACCTGGTGGAGAAACAAGGTAATGACAGCAAATCAGGAAAAGTAAGAGCGTGAAAGAGACGATCTTCAGGAACAATGTGAGAAAAGGTCCTTTAGCAGATCTGGAACATGTCAAAAGAGATGCCAGAAAACACAACAGATGGATGCAGGTTTCAGCCTGCCTCTTCTCTGGGAGGATCACAATCAGTTTTCAAATTTGTACATCAGCTCTAACCAGTCAAACATGCTGACAGAGGCTGTTAGAATACCAGTGGTGACTGTGAAGTCACTCTGCCATCTCGGCATGGTAAGCCACCCAGCAGGCAGCTTTTGGGGAAGGGAAGCTTGCTTTATGGTCTCAGCAGAACAGTGGCATATGTACAGTTGCACTATTCCCAAGTACCCACTGGTCCTTAGAGCACACACATATATCCTTCTGCAACACCTACCAAATCCATCAATGGCCAAGTTTTGATTGACTACCACTTCCAGCAAACTCTCCCCTTCTTTGGCTGTGGTTGTAAGTCGCTCTCCATCCCGATTTATAAAATGCACCGTCACCTGACCTGCAGAGCTGTAAGACAAGTTTGCAAAAATCAGGAGTCCACCCTTTCCTGCACACCCACAGTTGAGGTCTTTTGGCTGAGCACTAGAAACACGGCACAAGAAGGGAAACATGCATACAACACTTTCTCAAAGGATTACACCATGGACCTCAGAAAACATTCAAGTTAACTGTTCTCAGTGGCAGGCAAGTCTGAGTTGCCCCAAAATGTTTCCCACTTTATCAAACATCCCTCAGAATAAGTGTCTATCTGCGCATGAAAAAGTACAGGTGCTCTGCACCTGCTGCTTCTGCTTGGGCAGGCTGGCAGAGGGAGCATGTTAGGCAGGCAAAGCATTTGCAAGTCCTGGGCCTGGGGTGCTAATCCTGGGTAGAGTGATGTAATAACAAGCAAAGTGCTCAGGATCAGATACTAATCCTGCAGGAAGGGCTGTTGTCATTTATGTTTTTTTCCCCCGTTCCATTCCAAAGGAGATTACTTGTGACTGTTCCTCTTCTGCTGCTTTTTCTTCAGTGAAGTGTCCACTTCCTTCCTGAAGTCCATTGCAGGGAGCCTTCTTGTGACAAGACATGCCCATCCCCAACTTACAGAGCTCCTGGGCTGAGTAACCTCCTCCAAGGTGATGTGATCCTCGCTCGGAAGAAATTGGTGGTTATTTTGACAGCTTGTGAGATCTATAAATAAGAGGAAAGCAGCACCCATTTCATCTCCTCCAGACCAGGCTTTCACACAAGTGTGGAGAAGGCTGCCACCCTGACAGTGGTGTCAGGGATTTCTCACCAAGGCAGTACATTCTGAGATTGTGTTATATTTGCCAGGGGAAGCACATGAGCAAACAGTGTTTTTTCTTAGTGTACATACCCAAATGATTACTTAGATAAAGGGGTTACCCAAAGGTCCCATCTCCTGTGCTGAAAGAGGGCAGCACCTTGGAGGTAGTGGGGCCTTTTGCCCAGTAACTCTCAGTGTGGCACTGCCCAAGTGCCCATCACCCCAAAGCCCAGGGCATCCTCCAGTGGCAGAAGCTGTGTCCACTCTCTACTCTTCCATCAGGCTGACAACACACACCACTCATCCAGATCCCTGTAGAGATCCACCTCTGTCTCCCACAGCTCTGGTAACTCCAAAGCACTGGCAGTATCAGCACTGCTCTGTGGTTTTGCTGCTGTCATTTCTGGCAAAACGAAGCCTTGAAACTGGAGCAAATTTTGCAGCGAGGACTGGACAAGCTCACAATCCCCTGATTTTTCTCACTTACACAAGATTGAGTGAAGCAACACCCAGCTTCTTCTAATACAAGTGCAGGTATAAAGCTTGGTAACACTTCTGGAAGCCATGGGCCAGTGAAACAAACAGCAAACATGGCTCAGAGCTGTGAGAATTTCTAATATTATCTACTGATTTTTCACACTGTGTTTGCAATTCACACCAAGTACAAACTGTCATAGCCCCAGGTCACACGTTACAGCAGAATCATCAGCTGAGGAATTGCTATAGTGCCCACGCTCCTCAGTAGCAGGTGTCTTCTTGGGAAGTCACAGACTGGGAGGAGGAATTGATTAAATGCAAACTGTACCTGTTATAGCAACACCAGCTGCTGGAAAGACCCTTCCTGCTCAACTCCTCTCTGCTCTGTGGCAAGGAAAATAAAGAATGTGGAGATTTCCACTGATTTGCTTCTAATGTTAAGCACGAATATATAAGGATCAACTTTAAACAATTTCCTTTGCTCTTTCTTAACTCACAGGGGGCAGAGGTGGAGTACAGGGGATGTATCCAGCTGGATAGGAGATAGGAAAGAATTCCTGTAAAAATGTAATGGGAAAGGGGGAAGAAATGTTCTCTTTCAGCTTTGCAGGTCTTGTTCATTCCGCTTCATGTAAGTCACAATGACCATCCAGCTCTAATTCTATTTACCTGCTGACAAATCAGTGCAGTTCATCTCTAAGTCAATAAGGATACATCAAAATGTGGACTTCATCAGCAAGACTTCAGGAGCAAAAATTTCCAAAAATTCTCTCTTTGGAAAGTCAATTCCTGTATTTCATCAAAAATTGGAGGTGAAGAAGAGTTGAAACAGTATTTTTCGTTTTCTCTGCTCTTTTCTTTGTAGTTGTGCTTAGATTCAGCTAGCAGGAGCAGGACACAGCAACCACTGTACTTTCATCCCAGGAGGCCAGCTTCCTGTTTTTCTGAGAGCTTCAGCTGCAAAAAATGCCTGAGCTGTTAGTGCAGCCTAACTAACATAACCAGGGTCCTCTGGTTATGCAAACAGCTGTGAAGTTGGCACTGGGCCGTGCTGCAGAGGGAAGAGTTTCCCACCTGCAGAAAGGAAAGATCACGCTGCAGTCACGCACAGCCAGGCAGGACCACCCTGTTTCCCAAAGCAAACAGCCAGAAAACATCATTAAGACATTTCAGTCTCCTTCATAAAGACACCTGCAGACATTTCTTTGTAAATAAGCAATTTAAAGAGTAGTTCTCAAATGTCAAAATAAACTAAAACAACCCTCTTCATATTTTGGTGGATCAGACTGATTTATTCCATTTGTATGACAAATAGGCAGGTTTCTGGCCAATGTTTGGTTTAAATTTACGGGTGAAGTAATTTGTTACACAGTAGAAGTGGTAAAGTGATAAAACTTCACTTAGTGCTGCAACTGAATGGATTCTTCAACAAGATAATGAAAGCTGCCTGCCTGCAGAGAGTGCTGAATCCAAGAATCCCCAAAGCTGCCCACACATTTATTGACAGAAAACTTAATTCCTGTTATCTCTGAGGCACCTAGAGCTTCAGCCAATATCAGTCCCACAAGAATCTTTGCACCAGCCTCCCACAAATCTAGTTCCCTGCAGTTCCTCTGAGATACAACCTTGCTTTAACTGTTCCTGCCAGTTACATGAGGCCCAAGACAGCCAAGCTGCAGCCAGCACACAGGGTACAAGGCACAGATGCTACAGCCAGACCCCCGTGTGACTCTGGATAAGCCTGGGTGCAGCAGTTCACTCTTCTCCAGAGCAGGGACGATGCCAAGCGCTCCTGACCGCGACACACAGAGCACCTGCAAGCAGCTTCTCTCTCTTTGCTGGCTGAAAGGAATATTTAGCTGTTTGTCTGGATTCTCAGTATAGGTGCCTCTGTTGGGGGCATAAACCCAGCCCAATGACTCCCCATTTTCACTGTTTGGTTTAGTCGCCTCCCACACACTCACTGCTCTCATTGTCTTCATATCCCTCGAATCAGTCCCAGGCTCAAGTCTCCTCTCGAGGACCTCTGCTTCTGGGTGCCCAAGACTGGAAACAAGGTCTGCAGCTTTTATTTTTTATTTACTTTTGAATTTGTTTATTGGTGGGTTTGAAACTATGAAAAAATTCCTTTCACATTTTGTTAAGTAATTTTGAACTAGGATTAAAGAAAATATAATCAAAACTGATTAGACTAAGTTTTGCTTCATTTAGGCTGAACTATTTTAGAATGGCATCACAGGACACATGGTTAGAGCTTTGCAAAGATCTTACCAGGATGTGACAAACTCAGCAATGCAAGTTCAATGCATGACAACTGATTATTCCCTTTTAAAAAATAAAATCTCAAACTTTTTGTGACAAAGGAAACTAGTAAAGGGGTTTCAAGGAAGTGGTTCTTCTCCCTATCAATGTCTTCCCTAGAAGATACTTTCCAAGACCATACAAAGCAGCAAGATGCCTACAAGTACTGCCAGAGATAACTTCATAAGGCACAAACCAAATAGAAAGAAATTCCTTTAATAATGAGTCTTTATAAATCCCACCAGGCAGGGTTATCGGTGTGACTTTTCTCTCTGGTCAGAGAGCAAAATTGTTTATTGTATTTTCTGCATGTTGGTTGGATCCTTTTCTCAATGCCTAGCAGACTACAGCCTGACCCAGATGATACAGGTCTAGGAGATCTATAAATTACCTTTATTTTGCAATCTCCTTCTGAACTATCCCGAAAGAACAGAGAGAGGAAAGGCTGGCAGGGAGCCTGCCATAGTTCCTGCTGTGGAAATATAGAAGAGTGCTATGTGCCTGCAGCCCTTCCTCAGCCCTTCAGCACAGAGGAACAGTTGGCTCCTGCACCTTGAAGATTTCTGTCTTGAGGAACATCCAGCCTTCTTGGACTCCTCTGCTCCTCAGGGCTGCCTCCCAAGGGGCTGTGTCAGCCAGGCCTCTCAACTGAACCAACTCTGCCCTTTCAGGTGACCAGTCAGGAGCCCTCCACCCTGGCAGGGACCAAATGCATTTAAAGACAATTCTGAACACTTGCTTCTGAAGGGTTTTTGCCTGAGAGCTCAACTCAAGCTCAGTATTCATGACAGACTGTGCATCCCATTCCAAGTAAGCAGTCTAGCAAAGCCCAGCACAAGTCCCTGGTCCCAGGAGCGAGGCAGGAAACTGGAGCCATGGGCTAGCAGAGGCCCTTGCACCCAGTTGTCCCTAGCAGCCAAGCACCTGAGCCAGATTCTCCATCTCCCAGCACAGGCACCAGCGAGGCACGAGAGCTCAGTCACAGCCCACAGAGCTGCAGACATCCTCCCCCTCCTGCTCTGCCCCTACAGCAGAGGGGACTAGAAACCCAACAGAACTCACAATTCCCAGACCCACCCTGTGGTCATCCCAGCTTCCCCACAGCAGGAACACAACAGGCTGATGGCCTGGCTGCCCAACACACCTTGCCCGCTGTGCCCCTTCTCAGAGGCTGGTGTCTGGGCCACAGGGGCCAAAGGACTCTTATGCCACGTTGTCAATTCCATGAGCTGGATCCAGGCCACTAGCTGTGGCCCCCACAGCTCCAGGGGCAGGGGGCAACACCCCTCAGACAGGTCCCCACAGCTCCAGGGGCAGGGAGCAACACCTCTTGGACTGGTGTGACCATCTGCTCACCTCAGATGGTGCCCTCGTCCACCACCTCGCCCAGGCCATGGCTATGTTGGCCTCTCTCCTCTCCCTTTTGCAGGGCAAGGCAGGGGTGCACATCTGTCCCTTCGGACACAGCAAGGTATGTCAGCATTTGACTCACCTCGATTCCCCAGGGGCATCCTGCAGCCTGTGCGTGGAGCTGAAGCCTCTTTCTGAGCACCACTTTGCTGGGTTGTGATGCTGCTCAGTCACCCCACCGAGATAAATGAAGCGAATTTTGCTCATGTTCAGTCCACTTCGCAAGGGTCGCACGAGCCCCAGGATGCCTCGAGCTATCATGCTGCTTTGGGTCCCTCCCTCTGTCTCCTGGGCTGTCGTTTGTTGCAAGGACAGTCAGATTAAAAGCTTATAAGTACAGCTGAGAGGGGGGGAAAAAGGAAAGAAAGATAAAAGGAAAAAAATAGGACAGCCTCTCTGGGGGTGGAGGGAGGGAAGAAGGAGGGGAAGCAGGAAAGAAGGATGGACCAAAGGATCTTGCTGCAGTCCAGCCCATCAGGGCATGGGTGAAGCACAGTAATATGAACATCACCTCTACACACCACTTCCCAAGCAATGCTCACCTTGTTCTGCATTAGACTTCCATTTTAGGAACCAGAACTAAATCCCAGTTCAGGAGCAATATTCATTGTTATGCCTAATCATACAAGGGGTTACGAGCTGAGGGCTGGAAGAGGGCATCAGGAGCGCTGATGGTTGCTGCCTGGAGGACAGGGGCAATGGGTTGAAAGTAAGACTCATGAATTCTGCTCTTGACATGATGGCATCCAGCCACATCATTGCCTTCCCCAATACTGTAAGCTTCTACCTCTGAAATGAATATTTACTTACTTTGCATGATGGTGGTGAGAAGCAGCCACACTTAGCTCATTTGCCAAACTCCCTGCTGAAAAGTACCAGAAAGGCACAGATAAGTAGCATTCATTTCACTCTGCTAGTAAGCCTTCTGTAGAAGAAAACTGATTTACCTTGGAGAGGAAGGTAGACTATACCAGTGATGGTGTTTCTGGGAATAAATTAATTTGCCCAAGAGGACCCAAACTGCAGCAGCAGACAGCTTCTGTGGAGTTTGGGAACAGCTCTTATTTCAAAAGCCTGAATTGCCCCTAATACCAAATTAACAGCTCACTGTTTGGTAGGCTATCTGCTTTAATCAAGTTTTTTTAATGCAGTAACACATTAGTAGCCAGTATAAGCAAAAACCCTAAATACTGGACTCTCTAATCAATCCGTACAGGGGAAAGAAACTACAGCGTGAGAACTGGATAGAAAATGTCTCCCTCAACACACATACACACACAGTGGATTCATAGTTCTGAAGATAAGTGGAAAGTTTTGGTTTTTCACCCCAAAATGAAAATTTTTCACCCAAAACTTTCAGGTTGGAAGGGGATGCTTAAGCTTTCTGAAAAAAAAAAAACATTAAAGACATTTAGGAATGCAAGTATTTTCTAGAATTTTCTATAAGCTGTGCGGGAAATCCATTCTTCAGTCCAATAGTTTCAAAGGCAAGTGTTCAAGCATTCAACCCCTCAGCCCCAGTGGGGAAATCCATGGGCAATGCATAAAGGATTAAAAAAGAAAAAAACCCATTCTTTGGAGGAAATCACATTTCTAAAATCACCTGTCATTTTGCACCTGGTAGAGCAGCACACAGAATTATTTCTTTCCACCTCCCACTGCTTACTGAGGGTAAGCTGGGCAGTTGTGCTCCCACAACATGATACACACGGGAGGAACAAGTGGGGCTCTGCTATGGAGGGACATGAGCTGAGAAAACGTGGAGTTGTATTTGCAGGGCATCACCGACCAAAGCCTCACTCCTTTTGCTGAACATGGGTGACACTTCCCAGCTCAATACGTGATAAGCTTGGCCATAGGCACTCACAGCCTCACAGCATCCTCATGCCAGTCCCAGCTCATACTACAAATGCTTTTACTTTTTTCCTGCTGCAGGATTTGCCCCTCAGGTTTTGTTCAGGTCAGCAGCTCTGAGTGCAGGGAGGGTGGGATGAACCACTGAGTATCACTAGAACTTTAATCCAAAGTAAATTCTACCCCCAATCCCAGTCAGTGAGAGCTGCCATCTACTGAGAGGTCACCACGGCACGTTCCTGAGAGCAGCAGGGCAATGGCATAATGCCAAAGCAGGGATGCCAAGCAGCAGGCATGGGTGCACATCAGATGGCCCAGCCATGCCCAGAATCACTGAGACTTCTCTGTAATTTCACCCCTCAAAAGCAGTTAATGTAAAAATTCTTCATTTCAAATCATTCGCAGAATGTCCTTCGAAAGCTTCCCTCCCCACCCTTGCTTGTATCCCAGAGGAGAGCTGGCAGGGAGGCCCGTGGTTTGTTCAGCTGAATGCAGCTCTGGCCAGTGGCCCTGCTCGGTGGCCCCTCACTTTCAGGTCAGCTTTTCTGAGCCATTTGCTATCTCCTACAAGCTGCCCTGAGAACTTCAGCCTTCAAACCCAAATTCTTGGGCTGCATCTCACCCCTGAATTTAGAATCACTCTGTGCAGCCTTTGCAGCTGAGAGACTCCGACCAGTTCTGCCTTTGTTTTTCAGGCACTACAGAGATGCAGCAGACAGCCCAGCTCTGTCTCTCAGTCATTTCCATTGAAGGGAAGCAAGGCTTGCCAAGAGAGACGCAAGGAAAAGGGCCAGAGCATATACAAGCAAACCACAAAGCATCTTATCTCTCCAGCAAACCTTGAATTGAGAGATACACTGGATATATGCGCAGCAGTTTCCACAGCAAGGACATTTGTGTGTTTGCCTGGCACTGACCTCTCTCCTTGCCAGGAACTCAGAGCACAGCAAGTGACAGGTCAATGTCACCTGATGGAAGAGAGGGAAGTCAGGTTTGAGAAGGGAGGGGAGGTGCAGCAAAGGGGACTACTGTCGCCTGGTGAGAGCAAGAACAATCCCACTGGGGCAGGAGACAATCAGGCCCTTACGGATTTTGGATAGCGTGTCCTAACGTCTTTGAAACGCTGAGAAAGGGCAGAAGCAAGATCTCCTTTTCCCTCCATTCTATCTGGCAGCAAGCCTAGAAGTAAATGCAGCCTTTCCAGAGTAAACCAGTGTTCATTTAGCCCAGGACACAAAAATAGAAAGCTTTGCAAATAACCACCCCTCTCACAAAAAACAAACCCACCAACAAAAAACAACCCAAACCAAACAACAACCAACAAAATCAGCTAAGCAAAAAATCCAGCGCTTTGAAAAAACTTCTCAAAATGTTGCTTAACAGGTCAGCACATACTTTATGAGCAGGCCAGACACAGCTGAAGAGAATCTTTAGCTTTGTTTCATGTGAGGTTTGGCAGAAGCTAAGTTAACAGAAGTGCACACGGGCACATTTCCTCCCCTCCCCAGTTTCTTGCCACCAGGCCGTGCTCTGTCAGCGCAGTGGCTGTGCCTACACATCCAGACATGTTTTGGCACATGCTGAGAGGGAAGTGGTTTTCTAGCTTGAAATACCATCCAATATTTTCTGCACCACGCACCAAATAATTTGGCAACCCTCCCCCAGTCTAGGGACTCTCATGCAAATGTCCAAAACACATCTGAGCTGCCATTACCTCCACCTCATCCCCGATTTCTGCACAAGTAGTAAACACTGAAATCAGCAGTGCCCTGGTCCAACCAGAAGTTACATAACAACCTTTGCAGCCCTCCACAGCCAGAAGCACACTTGGACCTCTGACATACCTCCTCTGACCACTCTTAGAGTTCCTTGCCCGCAAGCAGAGCTGCCTTGGCTCGGTCCCTGCCCATGCTATTCAGCTGTAGATAGAGGCAAGCCCATGCTGTTCCCATGGGTGAAGTCTCAGGGACTGCAGTCAGAGCAGCAGGCACGCAGACCCAGGAATAATGAAGGTTTCCAGAAGGCAGCCTTCCTTAACTGGAAAAGCAAGAACAGCCTCTCCTCCTAACAAGCCCACTGCCTCACAAATACTCCTGTAGGAAAGCAGATATAGGCTGCTTGCTCACACAGAACTAAAGCACTGAACAAAACTAAAATTCCCTTTCCCCATTGTCACTATAAAAGCCCATCAACCACCCTTCCTGTTCCAGAGCAAGTTCCCAATAAAAGCAAACAGGACAATTTGTGTTGATTTGACGAAGACTGTAAATGTGCCTCAGTTTCTACATCTCTCAAACAAGATCTCTCAAATAAATCTACTGTTTTCCTGTTCTTACCTTCCTCTAGATGTTCAGCAACCTTCCTGACAATGACACAAACAAAAGGAGCAAGGGTCAGATTTTTACCAGTGGAAGCAGGAGGGCAGAGTTGCAATTAGAGATGGGCTAACACTGCAACAAGGAAGCACAATAAATTCACAACAGGGCTTCTAGACAGCAGCCACCTCCAGCAACGTAGCTGCTGCCTGGCTGGGTGAAGGCCACTAAGAAGTTACAGTGCCCCAGCCAAGACCTTCACTTGCAGATGCTTCTCCTTCAAGCATCCAGTCAAGGATGCTTCAAAGATGGATGGGAGTGCAATACTGCTGTACGTGGGGTACAGACAGCCTTCACCATAACCTCCCAGCTCAAGAGCAGTGTATTTCACACCCTCTTCAGTCAGTCGTGGTGACTCAAGATCAACCTCAGCTTGCATTTCTTTAAAGGATAATGCACAAACACAGGAAATAGCAATCATGGGTGCTTGTAATTTTTCAACTAGCTCTGCTCACTCGAAAGCTGTGTATTAACACCTGCTCAGAGCAAGTGCATTCTGACCAGAAGAGGGAGGTACAGCCCCTTCCAGGAGCATCAGTATTGCTTTTTGCAGTTTCAGCACTACTCTTTCTTTAATATCTCCTCCTCATTCTTCCCTCCACTTTTTGCTATACCCACCTCATCCTGCCATCTATCCTGAAAAACTCCATCTTAACATTACTAGTAATGTTCCGAGACCATCACCTGGCACTACATGTTCATTTATTCATTGTTCAGACATGGGGACCTGCTCCCTTGTCTACAAACTGCACTTAGAGCTGCAAACCTGCAAGACAAAAGCCAGCCTCAGCCTAACATTTCATGCATTGAGGGCCAGATACTTTTTCATAGAATGCCTTGGGTTGGAAGTGACCTTAAAGATCATCTGGTTCCAATCCCCTGGTGACAGGCAGGGATGCCACTCACTAGATCAGGTTGCTCAGGGCCTCATCCAACCTGAAGTAGAATATTTCTAGGGATGGGGCATTTTTCTTACAGATAAACTATTTTTCTGCAAGTGAGACATTAACATCACATGTGGCATCAACTTGCCTACGGCTACACAGCAGTTACAGGTTGACATCAGTGGCAAAATAATTATACTGCTCTCTGCCAGTTGTCACATGCTCTGATTATACACTGTTATAAGATGTTTAGACTGTATGGCCAAGATTGAGTTATGTATAGCTGCAAAGCTGGCATGGAACAGAACAGTCACACTGATTGTACAGGGCAAAAAAGCCATACCTCAGGTGTTCTACAATTTCTCATTGGAGACAGTCAGTCTTTGTAGATGTTCAAGCAGCTGCCATACAACTGCCTACAATTATCATACCTTACCCTGTACAT